AACTGATTAGATTATGATATAGACACACATAATTGTCTTGCATTTAGAGTGTTGATTAAATATCCTTTTTTTTTTTAAATCATTTTTTCAAGCAAATGTACAAATTTGCATTTGTAGAAACAGGAATAATCATTTGACAATTATTATTCATAAAGGAGGAAGGATATAGAGTGAAATTTTGTTGAAATTATTAGTATAACTTACTTTTCAGAAATAACTATAGGTTTGAAAGTACTTTTCATTTGTAAGTACAAACAGATACATGTAGGACCAATTTCTTTCACTCAGGGAGTCCAAATCAGAAAGATACTAAAAACCTACTGGAATTTGAAAATTTAAAGTGTCTAAATAATATGTACATATATTCAAAGATTTTAGATGAATTTTTATCACATCCATAAAATCAGAATGTTGTTCAGATCAATATTTTGTCGGTACGTCTAAACACTGCTAAGGAGTCCTTAGTGCACTAAGGACGTATATTATGCCACTAAGGACTAGATGGGGTGCTGTTACATGTATTATTTTTCCATATTAAGTTAGAGATTGATATTTAATGCATAAATAAAAAAATTTATAGAAAAATAATCACAAATAAACGAGTTATTAAGCATTGTTTAAGCACGTGCCCATTTTTCTTTGATATGCCGAAAATCAGTGAACCGATTGACACGTGCCATATAACATAACAACTGAATAAACAATCATTATCTTTTTATTTTAAGTAATTAACAATTGTATCGAAAAGATTAATAATTTATAATTAAATATGTTGTTCTTATTTGCAATGATTAAAAGGACAAATTATTTTTTTTTTTTTTTTATTTCTTTCTCGACAAAGTTATATTTGCCATTTGTGCTCGACTTTGATGTGCGCCAACTAATAAGTGTGGTCAGCTTGTTAAATTTTTATGTAAGAGCATGGAAGTAATATTTAGAGATACCAAGACAAAAGGAATAGATATATTTATACGTTTTTTGTTTTAATTTTAATTCCGACAAAGATGCGTGTTTCATTAAAATTTATGAGTAAATTCGGAAAAAAATATCAAAACCTGGTGTTTGCTTTTCCACTTTCTATTACTGCTTCATACTTAGTACGAATTACGATTGAATTGAAAAAAAAATCATGTGACGTCCTTGATGTTATTCAAAACCACTAGTGTTCAACCAGTTTGATAGCTGTTTACAAAGGCTTCATACCGAACTTATTTTTTTTCTCAAAGTATAAGAAGTTTAAATATCATTATCGAACTTTGAAGTTTCATTTTCAAATATATAAAGGAGACAAATGTTTTTTTTTAAATGTTCCACAGTTTTTAACACATTATTAACGAAAATTATCTCGTATGTGTTGATTTAGAGCTATAGATATAATTTTGACATAAAAAGGTTATGCTTCGTACGAATGCCTTGAAAATATGCTTTTTCATGATGTGAAAATATGCTTTTTCATTATGTGAAAATAATCATTTTTTTTGTAATACAAGATAATTTGAATACTTTATACCTAAATCTATCACGTGTAAAAATGAAAAAAAAACAACAAGGGTTTGTATAGTATATTACCAGAGACATATACTACAGTATTATATGTATCTGATATTACTATACAAATCTTTGAAAAAACCAACAGAAATATTTTCAAATATAATTTCTTTAAATCTATTTTTTCTTTAAGAAGAACAAGTATGTCAGAAGGAAATCCGATTTGTATTTTTTTAACCAAATTGTCTGTTTAAGATATTGTATGAAATAATGACTATGTTGTATGTGCTTTACTCATTGTTGAAGGCCGTACGGTGACTTATAGTTATTAATTCCTGTGTCATTTTGTCTCTTGTGAAGAGTTGTCTCATCGCCAATCATACCACATCTTCTTTCTTATATTGGTTGCATGTAGTAAAAATTTATTATCATATTGATTCGTTTTTGTCCAGTAATACATTGATTAACGTCTTCATATATGAAAATAAATTTAGATATATTGCTCTGGAAACAAATCTTTTATTTACAAGAAATAATTACAAAATACTCTTTCAGAATCTGAAAAAAAACATGCATAAAATTTTAACAACTTATTCAGTGCGAAGTCAAATCAAAATTGATCACTGAAATATAATCTTAAAAACTATTCATTTATTAGTATCCAACTTTTCCAATATTGTCGATTAAACACAACAGATAGCAGGATTCCCGTGTAATCAGTTATGTAATTTGACACGTGTCTAACGGTTCATTGATTTTCGGCACATCAAAGAAAAACAGGCACGTGTCTACACAATGTTGAATAACTCATTTATTTGTGATTATTTTTCTATAAAATTTAAAATTTATGCATTAAATATCAATATCTACAATAATATGAAAAGACATTACATGTAATAGCACCCCATCTAGTCCTTAGTGGCATATCATAAGTCCTTAGTGCACTAAGGACTCCTTAGCAGTGTTTAGACGCACCCATATTTTGTTTTTAAAAAGATGGCTTAAATTTTTGATACATGCACGTCTTACCTGCAGCTAGGAGCAAATAACGGCCATAATTCACCTGATGACAGATCCCTGACCTTACTTTGATTTTTGCTAGGTTTGTCGAAGGACATTGACAAAGTGTTGTTAAGGAAGGTAATATGTGAAAGGAGAACACATGCAATGGTAATTCATGGTAATTTTTAAAAATGGGGAAAAAATCAAGATGTAAACATTGAAAAGAACATTTGTAGTGAGTTATTAGTTTAAATACATAGGTACATAAGTATTAAAGATATTTTTCAAACATTACTTATCACAGCCTAATCCATTATGAATCATTTAATTTTATATCAAAATAGGTATACTCTTATTAGGTTGAATTATTTATACAGGTGTAATACCACCAAATCATAGTACGTCACATCCGGTTGCATACGAAAAAGGGTTGAAAAAAATATTCCCTTGAATTTGACAGTTGTAGGAAATTAATCCTACATTTCATTGCAGTAAAAAATTTCGGAGTCATAAACATATATCTTGGGTGTTTCAGGGCATCATTCTTTTAAATCCCCTACCGACGAAGTCGAAGGGGACTTTAGGTTTGCACTTCGTCCGTCTGACTGTCTTGTCTGTCTGTCCATCCGTCAGTCCGGCAAATCAGTTTTCCACACTTTTTTTCTACGTGCTTGAAGATATTGATTTGATATTTGGTGTATTGTTTAATCATGACAAGTTACAGATCAAGTTCTAATTTTGTTCTGGACTGACGATTTTGTGCAGAGTTATGGTCCTTGAACTTAGAAAATTCACTCAAAAAATCAGTTGTCTGCACTTTTTTTTTTGTTATGCTTGAAGATATTGATTTGATGATTGGTATAGAGTTCAATCAGGACAAGTTACATATCAAGTTCGAATTTTGTTTCGGTCTGATGATTTTGTGCAGAGTTATGGTCCTTGGACTTAGAAAATTCACTTAAATAATCAGTTTTCCACTCTTTTTTTCGTCATGCTTGAAGATATTGACTTGATATTTGTTATATATTTTACACCATTACAAGTTATAGATCAAGTTAGCATTTTGTTCCAGTACAATGAATTTTTAACTGGTAGGGGACTATGTATTGCCGTGCAGTACTCTCAGAATGCTTGTTTTATTTGGTGTTTCTATAGAATATTTTGGAAACTTGAGGTTACATGGTTACTAAAGCTTGTACACAGAAAAAAAAGTGGTGCAAATTTGATTGGTTAACTTCCAGTGATGGTTATTTTCTTATACGCAATGAAATGTGATGTGAAATTTTGTCTGTGCATGCTGTAGTACTGGACAGGATAAAACTTGACTCATGCCAAGTATTTCTTTATTTGAATCAAAGATAAATTCTGCACAATTTTTTGAAAAGTGCAAATGTAACAAAGACTAATAGGGGAAAATCAATGGTGGTATTACACCTACAACCCCATCAAAGGAGGTGGTATAAAACCTACAACCCTATCAAAGGAGGTGGTATTACACCTACAACCCCATCAAAGGAGGTGGTATTACACCTACAACCCCATCAAAGGAGGTGGTATTACACCTACAACCCCATCAAAGGAGGTGGTATAAAACCTACAACCCCATCAAAGGAGGTGGTATTACACCTACAACCCCATCAAAGGAGGTGGTATTACACCTACAACCCCATCAAAGGAGGTGGTATAAAACCTACAACCCCATCAAAGGAGGTGGTATTACACCTACAACCCCATCAAAGGAGGTGGTATTACACCTACAACCCCATCAAAGGAGGTGGTATTACACCTACAACCCCATCAAAGGAGGTGGTATTACACCTACAACCCCATCAAAGGAGGTGGTATCCTGGTAAATGTCAATCTGTCCTTCCGTTAGTCTGTATGTACTGGTGGTATTACACCTACAACCCCATCAAAGGAGGTGGTATCCTGGTTAATGTCTATCTGTCCTTCCATCAGTCTGTATGTACGTCACATAAAATTTTGTTCACATTTTACTCAGTTACTACAAGTAAGAGCTCCCTGAAATTTGGTAAGAAGCTTCTATGCTTTCTGTGCATTTTTTTCAGATTCATCACAAAATCCACATCCTGTTTACTGAATACTTGTATAAATATTTTTTTTTTTAAATAATGGCCATGTATGAATTTTTGTTGCATTTCTACAAATCAAGGATTTCTGAATTTTGTATCAATCTTCCTATGAGAATCAATAATTTTGTTATGAGTTTTTATATCCATCACTTAGCAATTTCCATTTCAAGAATACTTATAACAGGGTTATCATAGTGAACCAACTTATTATATCACCGATATTGACTTTTGTCCAAATATTGGAGTGTCCGACTAAATGGCTGTCCCAAAATCAGGACAGAATCAGATCTTATTATCACACAAAAACATTTTTTTTTCAGACAGTGGCACATGAACATTTAAGGTTTTATTCAGCTACATTAAGATATGATTAATATAGACTTTATTTTTATTGATACATGTACTTTATCTTTTCAGAAACATGATGGTTTCATGCAGCCAGAATGCAAGAAGTTTTCCCTGGATCCTCAGATAACATCATTTGAGATGTTACAGCACATTGTAGCAAGTGCATTCAGCATAAAAGGGTAAATACAAGTAATATTAAATGATAGTTTATAACAGCCCATATCCATGCAAAAATTATGCTTAATCCACAAAAAAGTAAATGACCACTTACATTTGAAATTATATGATGACATTTTTCCCAAGGGCTACAGACAAAACTGCTGATAATATGTTGCACCACGATATATATATCATGCCAAAAAAAGCCTAAAGATACCAAGGGAGCGATAAAAAATCATGTCAAGTTGAAAAATAGACGATACCTTGGTCTAAAAAAAAAACAATGAAAACACTTAAATTGAAGTTAACAGTCTCCAAAACACTATTGGTATACACAAACCTATTTTTGTTTCATCATTTTTCCAAATTCATTCTGCTTTTTAGTCCCCTTACCGAAGAAGTCGAAGGGGACTTTAGGTTTGCACTCCGTCCGTCTGTCTGTCTGTCCGTCCATCTGTCAGTCTGGCAAATCAGTTTTCCAGACTTTTTTTCTACATGCTTGAAGATATTGATTTGATATTTGGTGTATTGTTTTATCATGACAAATTACAGGTAAAGTTCAATTTTCACAATTTTAGTTTTTCTCCTTGTTCAGTTAAAGCCCTTTCCCTAGAATTAAATTTTTGACAAAATACTTATTAATTACTAGATTTCTGTTCAAAGGAAAATAACTCATTTTTTAAAAGATATTTAAAAGATATTTTTATTAATGATAAATGACATTTTGGATTTGTTCCTTCATTGGTAAATTGTTTGAAGAATTTAGTGGTAGGTTTGTTTGTTATTGATTCTGTATAAACTAATTTTCTGAATGCTATATATTAAAATTTTTTTTGGATGGAGTGAACTTTTTTATTTAGATAATAATCTATTTTTGATAAAGGATATATTTCATTTAAGAAATAATTCATGGAAGCCATAGATTTGTTGGAAATTTACACATGGCCTCAGCCATGATATCCAAATTTATCCTGAGTGTTAGTGAGGAATAAAATTAACGAATATCATCGCCCAGGCCAAGTGTAAATTCACTAAAATAATCAGTTTTCCACACTTTTTTTTTGTCATTCTTGAAGATATTGATTTGATAATAAGTATATAGTTTTATCATGACAAGTTACAGATCAAGTTCGAATTTTGTTCTGGTCTGATGATTTTTTACAGAGTATGGTCTTTGGACATAAAAAATTCGCTTAAATAATCAGTTTTCAACAATTTTTTTCGTCATGATTGAAGATATTGACTTGATATTTTTATGTAGTTAAATGCACCATGACAAGATATAGATCAAGTTAGAATTTCGTTCCATTACAATGAATTTTTAACCGGTAGGGGACTATGTATTGCCATGCAATACTCTCAGAATGCTTGTTTATTTTAAGTTTTGAAGTATTGAAAAGTAAAAAAGAAATTGAAGGTTTTTTTATTAAAAAATATTTCAAATTAAATAATAAAAACTCTGGATTCGTTTATTTTCGTGGGTACCAATTTTCGTGGATATTTGATTTCATTGTTTAACAAAAGTCTGCATACAACATTGTACAAGCCTACATAAAATATGTACTTTGTTGAACATTTAAATTCATGGTTCACTTATACCCACAAAATCCACAAAATTTGGTATACCATGAATAATTATGTATCCACAGTAGTTTGAATTTGAAGTGGTGTGTCTTGCAGATTTTTTTTTAATTCTTTATCTCTTAAAAGATCAAGGATAATGACCACCACTATCAATGTCACTTTACTGTACTTTATTTCATCAGATAAGTTGTTTGAAACATACTATCCTTGATTGATAGTTGTTTTATATTGTCAAGGCTGTAACCAAGATCGAATCATGATTTAGAGGAGAGGAGCATTTCACAAAATCAGTCATTTGATCAAACATTTATACAATGTAATGATGTGACCGCATCCTTACCACTCCCTCCTGCTCCTGCCATGAATTTATTAAGACTGTTGTATCATAGAAGTTCTGTCATCAATTTGTGACTGTGATAGTACTGTAGACTGTTTATGGTTTTCAGGGACTTTACCTTGAGTTACCTGGCTAGAGATGATGAAGGACAAGAGATCTACCTGAGTATGTTATCTGATTGGGATATGGATGCTGCCTTCCAGAGTGCCTCTGACCCATGTCTGCAGATTAAAGTGGACCTGAAACCTTTTGATGATGGTTAGTTCAGTTTGCAATACTTTATTTACAAAAAAACACAATGTAACATATTTGAAACGCGATGTTGTTTTCATTGTCTCGCTTGCAACAAATATTGAAGTATGTGAAACACAGGAATACTATTCCTCCTAAACCTTCCATTGAATGGTATTGAAATTTGCAGTAGTGTACTGTACATATGGATATGTGTATGGATAATAGTAAAGTGTACTGTACATGTATGGTTGTCAGGACTCATCTGACCTTGACTTCATTTTTGGGGTTAATTTGTCAATGTTAAAATTTCCTTGTTAATAGATATAAGAAGATGTGGTATGAGTGCCAATGAGATAACTCTCCATCCAAGTCACAATTTGTAAAAGTAAACCATTATAGGTCAAAATACGGCCTTCAACACTGAGCCTTGACTCACACCGAACAGCAAGCTATAAAGGGCCCCAAAAATGACTAGTGTAAAACCATTAAAACAGGAAAACCAAGGGTCTAATCTTTATAAAAAACGAGAAACGAGAAAAACTTATGAACCATTTCAACAAACGACAACCACTGAACATCAGGTTCCTGACTTAGGACAGGTGCAAACAAATGCAGCGGGTTAAAAGGTTTTAATAGGCGCCAACCTTTACCCTACCTTAAACAATAGTGTAACATCACAACATTCAGTGTTCCCGCCTGCCCTAAATAGAAGGGCGGCCCGCCCTTGGTGCCCTTACCCCCGCCCTTCTGCCCTCCAAAGCAAAAGAATGCACCCCTCTGCCTTTTCAAAAAAATAAAATTTCCAAATGTCATGCCTATCGGCGTTTCCGGTAAAATTGTTACCTGATTGTGTAACACTAATTAACTGACAATGGGATTAAGTTAAATACCTAATGCCTTTGGCAGTTTTATCACCTTTGTTAATGATTGTTTACTGCTAATTAGTGGATTTAAGATAATTGAACAAATACTAGATATTTAATACAGAATTAAATGTCCACATGTTATCCATTTGTAATGTTTATGTACAGCATGTACACCTGAAAAAATTTATTTCAGTAGGCATAACATAAAAAATAAAATCTAAAACAATTTTAAAGGCATACACAGTTTTGAGTAAATTGGTAAAAATGTTTTGTTTCATAACCATGAGTATGAAATTTAAAGAAGAATCAAAGAAATTTGTACTTTGAACATAACAAGATTGCACCACTTCCTGTTTTACTTCTTGTATTTTATAATCCTCCTTTTATAGGAGCACTCCAAAAATGCTTTTATTTTTAACAATGATGGAGAAAAAGTAACTGTTTATACCTTCTGCAATATATGCAATATATTATTGCATCAATATAATATGATCATCTCCTGTCTCACCTGTTATATTTTTAAAACTCCTTACTTAGGAGCACTTTGGTGTGCACTTAAAAATACTTTTTTGTAACAATTGAAATGATAATAAATAACTTTAATAACAATATACTATAGGGGGATTGATCAAGCAATTTAAATGTAGATAATTTAATTGATTAAACATTCAATTTTGCATGTATAACTCCATCTTTCAAAACTAATTGTTTATTTTTATAGACTGGTATAAGTTATTGAAACATTGAAATTTCTGATGATTATTTTCCTTACCAAATGTACAAGTTTGTTTAGATTAACATCAAAATGATATGCTTTGCTTCATGGTATGATAATTTGATAAAAAAAATCTTACTGGAACCAACATCAAGAACACATTAATTTCTGAATATGGTTTAAATACAACTAATGTTCTCCAGCTGAGCCTAACAATATTCAAGGTAATTTATACACTGTCCAACAGTGCCCTTACAATCTGGGTTATTACGCTAAAGTGCCCTTTCAGACAACTAGCACCCTTCTGCCCTGAGATTCAAGCTGGAACACTGACATTGAAAGACACACTATAAAATATCAATTGAAATGGCTGAAATCAATTTTATTAACAAAAACAAGTGAACATACACTGAACGAATAAATTTGATCTATGACACAATGTAAATACAAAATTAATAAAACAAGGGGGTTAGATGTTTAACAATATCAGAAAGACAACCATAACCTTGGACAAAATGCCGCCAAATAAAATAACGTAAACAGGTAAATAAAAATAATTTTGTTGTAAGGTATACATGGAGTACGGAAATAATTTTGTTGTTCCTAGTACGAGAACAAAAGTGAAAATTTATCGTCATACTAAACACTTATCAAAGGTGGTATATATTAAAAATAGTGAGACTAGATATAACACTGAATAAGTAAACATTAAATAACAAAAATACATTACAAATTGTATAACAGGTCAAATTAACATGAAAGTACGATTTGAGAGTACTTGCAGTTACTGAAAAATAATTAATAATAAAAAGTCTGTTTCTCAGATACAATAAGCAATATGTCATCTATATTTTGCATTGGAATGTTTGTAAAGGTGTACATGACCATGGCAAGGTTCATCTGACCTTGACCTTATTCTCATTCAATGTTAAATTTTTGTGGATATGGCAGTTTCTGAGATAGTTGCCATGATGCTATAGGTAATAGCTAAAGTTGGTTTATATATCCATCTGGCAGGGTTCATCTGACCTCAACCTCATTTTTATGAATCACCTTTAATGGTAAGTTTATGTGATAGTTGTTGGATAACCTTTATGATCATGATAAGCAATGCAGATGGGATTGATTTTAGGGGTTATAGTCCTAACAGTTTAGGAATTAGAGGCCAAAAAGGGGCCCAAATAAGCCTTTTTCTAGTTTCCAGACTATAACTTGTGGAACTGTGTATGGATCTCTCTGAAATTATACCACAAGTTTCCATACCACAAAGGGATGGTTAGGATTGGCTTTGGGGTGTTATGGCTCAAACCGTTTAGGAATTAGGGGCAAAAAAGGGGAAAAACAAGGGTTTCCTGGTTAATGGACTATTAAAAAAAAGTACAATGTTATGTTTGGATTACCTCCCTTACACTGCTTTTAAATTATGTATATAGAAATTTTGTATTGTCTTGAGGTGATTAGCTGTCAATTTATTTTTAGAAGTTACTATTTAAAAATGCTGATGAAGGAATATTAATTTAAGCCATGATTATGTATGTCATTTTCTATTTTAAGACTTTTATGATGTATTTAAATGGGTAATTATGGTTGCAAACTCCATTGGAAATTTGAATTGAGATTATGACCATATCTTGAGGGACAGAATTTTTTTTTTTTGGAAAAAGGGAGGGGGGGGGGGGGAGTAAAAAAGAAATTGTGAATGGGGACAATTTTTTCTCATTTCAGATTTTAGAAATTAAAAAGAAAATTTCTTCAAATATTTTTTTTTTGCCAAAAAAAGGAAGGGGGGGGGGGGGAAATTTTTTTTGGGAGGGGGAAGGTCAATTCGCAACAGCATAGTATATTGCACAAAGCAAAAAATTGAATATAAATTCAAATCATATAACCAATTCTAAGTTCTTTGACTACAGTTTATTCTGTGTCAGAAACCTATTATGTTTCAAATATTTAATTACAATCCAAATTCAGACCTGTATCAAGTGCGAATATTGTGTCCATTTTTGCCCCAACTGTTCAGGGTTGGACCTCTACGGTCGTATCCAGCTGAGCTCAGCGAAGCAATTTATTATAAATGTATGTGTAGATTAGATATGTTTACATTGTACAAAATGTATGTAACAAGTGAAGACAAGCTTTAAAATTGTGCAAGTTAGAAACAAGAATGGATTTTAGTTACTACATGTACATGTATCATTAGCAGTGAAGTATTGTTTTATAGGTTTAGATGACTGGGATATAATTGGACCTGTAGATTTTCCACAACAAAGGGCACATGGCTATCTAGATGGCAGTTCTCTTCTAGGCACCTTGACCAGTCAAGTGGGTAAAACTGTTTCCAGGTCAATGCAGAAAGTAATGGGTAGGTACAAGTTTATTATGTTATAAATTTTATATAGATTCATTTAAGAATAGTGCAATTCCTGCTGGACTTTCAAGTGTAGATTCAACTGGTTTTTCAATATAATCCCTTCACAGTGAAGTTTTGGGAAAAAATGTATACTTCAATGAAAGGTTTCAGTCTGTTCATTTGTAACATCATTCAAATACAAATAAAATGCCTTGATCTGATTTTCATTAAACTAAGTAAACGCAATCCAAATTAGAAGGAATAAAGTACTCCAATGTTTATCATTCGAAGTCCAAGGTTTTCGCTGAGATCATTGGTCCAGGTCATTCTATACACACTTGTGCAAATTTTATTTTTTCAAAACTTTACATTTGGGTTTGATGTTAAAGTTCACCCAGGATATCAGTAGCATCACTTCATCTATGTTCAATGCTGCCAAAGTAAATTGCTCTGTCAGAGTTTATTTTCCTCATTTGGAATGCATTATTGTTCTTTGGGAAACAAATTTTATACCAGACATTTACTTAAAAATGTAAGTCAGTACCGTTTCGGTCCTCAAATACAGGTTGATGGTGTCAGAATGTCTAATATTTTTGGTAATTCCTCCAAATTTTTATGCCACAGCCCTATGCAATGGGGGCATTAAGTGTTGCCCTTGACCATCCTTCCATCTGTCCATCTGTCCCATTTTTATACGACTGCAAAAAAATTTTGCGGTCGTATATTGGTATGACGTTTGCGTCTTCGTCGTCGTCGTCCGAAGACACATTGGTTTTTGCACTCTAACTTTAGTTTAAGTGAATGGATCTCTATGAAATTTTACCATAAGGTTCAATACCACAAAAGGAAGTTGGGGATTGATTTTGGGGGTTATGGTACCAACAGTTAAGGAATTAGGGGCCAAAAATAAGCATTTTTGTAACTTCCAGACATAACTTGTGTGTTAGTGTATGGATCTCTCTGACATTGTACCACAAGGTTCCATATCACAAAGGGAATGCTGGGATTGATTTTGGGGGTAATTGCCTCCAAATTTTAGGAATTAGGGGCAAAAAAGGGGCAAAAAACAAGCAGTTTTCTAGTTTCATGACAATAACTTGTGTGTAAGTGTATGGATCTTTATGAAATTGTACTACAAGGTTCCATATCACAAAGGGAAAGCTGGAATTAAGTTTGGGGGTAATTGCCCAAAATGTTTAGGAATAAGGGGCCAAAAAGGGGCCAAAAATAAGCATTTTTCTTGTTTCCAGACAATAACTTGTGTTCAAGTGTATGGATCTCGCTGAAATTGTACTGCAAGGTACCATACCACAAAGGGAAGGCTTGGATTGATTTTGGGGGTAATTGCCTCAAAATTTTAGGAATTAGGGGCCATAAAGGGAAAAAAAAAACAAGCGTTTTTCTAGTTTCAGGACAATAACTTGTGTGTAAGTGTATGGATCATTATGAAATTGTACTACAAGGTTCCATATCACAAAGGGAAAGCTGGGTTTGAGTTTGGGGGTAATTGCTCTAAACGTTTAGGAATTTGGGGCCAAAAAGGGGCCAAAAAACAAGCATTTTTCTAGTTTCCAGACAATAACTTGTGTTCAAGTGTATGGATCTCTCTGAAATTGTACTGCAAGGTACCATACCACAAAGGGAAGGCTGGGATTGAGTTTGGGGGTGATGAATCATAAGGGGGTTCAAAAAATTGGGGGGAGGGGATTTTTTTTTCCTTTTTTTTCTTTAAAATTTTCCATTTTAAATTGGTTATTTCTGATTTATATATAAAAGCAAATAATAATGATATATGGTTTGAATAGGTAAATTAAAAAATTTTAAGTTCTTGGACCACATTCATTCTGTGTCAGAAACCTATGCTGTGTCAAATATTCAATTACAATCCAAATTCAGTGCTGTATCAAGCTTGAATGTTGTGTCCATACTTGCCCCAACTGTTCAGGGTTCGACCTCTGCGGTCGTATCAAGCTGCGCCCCAGCGGAGCACTTTATTGTTTCTGCCCTGTAACAAGTTTTACTCATCTAAATTTTATGAAACTCATACACAATGCTAAGAACCACAACACACAGATAGAGTTCGAATTCGGGCAGAGTTATTTACCGTTCTCCAGTTATGCCTCTTTTTTAAATTGGGGAAATAGCAAAGCTTGAGCCGGGGGATTTGTGTCCTGTGACAGACACATTCTTCTTTTATTTTATTTATTTTTTAAGTTAACGAGTTGTTGGTTGCTGTCTGCCATATTTGTTTTTAGTATAAATCAGATTGTTGTTTTTTCTCTTTTGAATTGTTTCACATTTTCTCAGCCACAGTTTTTAATAGGTTACTGTATAGTATGGATTTTGTTCATTGTTGAAGGTGACATTATATAATATTTATTGTTTACGTCCTCATCCTTAGATTTCTAGTGGAAAGTTAACTCATTGGCAAGCATTCCTTATCTCCTTATTTTTATGCCCCACCTACGATAGTAGAAGGGCATTATGTTTTCTGGTCTGTGCGTCTGTACGTTCATCTGTCCGTTCATCCGTCCGTCTGTCTGTCCCGCTTCAGGTTAAAGTTTTTGGTGAATGTAGTTTTTGATGAAGTTGAAGTCCAATCAACTTGAAACTTAATACACATATTCCCTATGATATGATCTTTCTAATTTTAATGCCAAATTAGAGTTTTGACCCCAATTTCATGGTCCACTGAACATAGAAAATGATAGTGCGAGTGGGGCATCCGTATTCTATGGACACATTCTTGTTTATAATGGTTCTGTTATACTTTTAATCTTTAGAAATAAGCAGTCATAAATGCAGCCTTTGCAATTATAGACTTTGTTCAGAAAATGAAAATAACACATTATAAATTTCTTGTGTCTGAAGCACTTTTCTGGATTTATTTTCATCAGGAACTCGTTAACCCGAACATTTGAAAGCCAAAGATGTCAAATTACCCAAATAGGTTAGGAGCTATAAATTAAAAATTTTGCCAATTGCAAGGAAATTTTTAGTATGTACAAAAAAAATTAGTTGTAAAAAGTTACCACCTGGCGTCAAATAGGGAAACTACATGTTTGTTTCTAATGTAAATTAATTCTTATTTGCTTAAAAAGGAAGTAAATCATCTTTATAATCTTGACCGCTTGCCAGGTGCTTAATTAACCTAGGTCAACTATGGAACATGTGACATGTCTAATGAAATTTTGGACCTTGTATAGTGGGAAGGATATTTGTATTTCAGGATGCACCCAAAATAACAGACACACAGACAGGGAAACATAATGCCCCTTTTCTATAGTAAGAAGGGCATAGAATAGGTATTTTAACTGTTATTTTGAGAGGCTTTATGTTCATTTGATATTTTTCAGGTTTTAAAGGTGAGGAAGAATCCAAGTACAAACCAAGCAAGTCTCCAGTAACAGATTTAGAATTCAGAAATTATTTAGATTCATCGGGTCATATGGTAAAACCTGAAGAACTGAGACTGAGTATTTATCAAGGTGGAATAGAAGCCTCTTTAAGAAGGGTTGTATGGAGACATCTTTTAAATATTTTTCCTGCTGGACTTTCTGGTAAAGAGAGATTTGATTACATGAAAACTAAGGAAAATGAATACTACAAATTACGAGATCATTGGAAAGAGCATTTTAAAAATGGTTCATTATCAGAGGAAATAAAACATGTAGCAACACTGGTAAAGAAAGATGTTTTAAGAACTGACAGAACTCATAAGTTTTATTCCGGAAGTGATGACAACAAAAATCTCATCACTTTATTTCATGTTTTAGTAACTTATGCCGTAACACATCCAGAGGTATCATACTGTCAAGGAATGAGTGATGTTGCTTCCCCTCTTCTTGTCATACAAAAAGATGAAGCTCAAGCTTATTTATGTTTCTGTGCATTGATGAATAGATTACGGACAAATTTCTTGTTTAATGGCAATGCTATTGAAACCAAATTTCAGCACCTTCAAGATTTGATCAGAATTCATGACCCTGTTTTTTACGATTATCTTAAAAATGTGAATGCTTCAGACATGTTTTTCTGTTACCGTTGGTTACTTTTAGAATGTAAAAGAGAATTTCCATTTGATGATTCAATGTATATGTTAGAAGTAATGTGGAGCACATTACCACCAAGTCCTCCTGATCTTGAACTTGCACTAGCTGATCCGGATTATCGTCCAGATTTCCTGTCCATGCCTCCAACTTCTCCCTCATTTACATCAAAACAAAACATTTATGCACAGTTATTGGCTAGGCGTATACATATTCACTCTAAAGTTAAGGACATACCTAATGGTAGTCAGAACTGTGTTGTTACCAGTGTAAATAATAATTTGTCTGCGGATGACAACTCACCATTAGAGGACAAAATGCTGTCTCAAGACTATCCTTCAGTTAATGATGAACTAATGACAAAATCTATCATACTCAAGTCTTCTTCTATAGACAATTCTCTTAAAGAAACCTGTCCAATTCAAGGGTATAAAAGCATGGATATAGAGAGAACTTATTCTACTGTTGAAACTGTAACTGAAGAAGATGAACATAATTCAGTAGGGAACACTGATAATTCTATGGTTGGGGCAACATCATTGAACACAGAAAATGATAAAAGCAGTTTTTGTGTTGACCATGCAATTAATGAAGATTTTAATCTGAAACGAAACAATGAGTTTGATGAAGAAGACTTAAAAGTTGAAATAAATAATGAGACTGACGATTGTGATGAACAGAACAACAGTCAGGATAGTAATTGTGAGGATGACAGTGCACATGGACAGAGTCAGTTTTATATTTCTCTAGAATCTAGTGAGGAACCTGAGGCACCCAAACCGACCCCTCCTCCAACTAAAGGATCATTTTTTGACAATGTGAAAAAGAGAATAATGATATCACCATTGAAAAAGCAGTCGGATGCAGTCTCGAAAAGTTCTAATTCAAAAACTGTTGCAGACAACAGGTCAAATAGTGTTTCTTCAAAAGGAAGTGGAAGTGAAAATAATCATTCCAAAAATGACTTCAGTGATTCACGGCAGGATGACTCGGGTATGAATTCTGCTCTGTCTTCAATTGAGGTAATAACGAACGATAATCTGTTAGAATTACCTCCCCCTGAAGAGTTTGGTAGTGGGAATCCATTCCTAATGTTCATTTGTTTAACTTTACTTCTACAACACCGTGATGTAGTTATACAGAACCATTTAGAATATGATGAGATGGCCATGTTGTTTGACAAAATGGTACGAAAACATGATGTCCACAAAGTACTTCATCAGGCCAGAATCTTGTACGCTGATTATCTTCAAAGTCAGCAGCGAAAAATACAAGAAAGTGTGTAAATGCCTTATGTGTTGTGCAATAGCTGCAGTTGTACAATTTATGCATATAAAGTAATTGTTTTTGCAAAAATTTGGTGCTGACATCATCTTAAGTTTTTTAGCTTTATCTGTGTAATAATTTTCATCATTTTGCAACCTTCATTTTGTATATTGTTGAAAAAGTCTCCTCTGAGAACCGTCAACCAGTTTGCTTTAGTGATTCTTAGATCATCTTTTTTTTATCTTTTTCTTTTAAATGAAACAATTCCAGCAACAACTACTAAACTAATCTTCTGTCTCTGAACTTTTTGTTCAAAAATATATGTCAGTGTCACCTAACCCATGGCCACTGCCCAAGCAATATCTGAATACCAATTGAATGTCAATGAACTTTGAAAGTATGGCCAGAGTCCAATGACACTTTGAAAGTAAGATCAAAGTCAAATGACACTTGTAAAGATATATGATCTCATTATACATTGTAGATAATTCTTATAAACCAAACATTAACAGATATCTGATCCTAGAAATGAAACTAAACAACTGAAGTGTGAAAATGATAGACTGACATATACTCCTAATATAAATAAACAAGCATTACAAATGATGGCAACATGTCATGTATATTTAAAACATGACATGGTTAAATCATTTGCAAAGACCTAGTCCTGAAAACTTAACCTGAAGCATGAAAAGAGGTCAAGACCATATAATCATTGTCATATTAAATCCTAGCTGCCCTTTACCTATTAATTAATTGTTGACTTCTTATGCAATTATTTAGAAACAGACAAATTAACCCAACTAAAACAACATGAAAATGATTCCCATGTCAGAGTGGGTCCATATAGAAACATGGAAATTGTTGACCCAGACTTGAAACAGCAAATTTCTGTCTCGAAATTCATAATAGTTTAATTTTCAAGTAACAACTTCCCTAGCAAGTCCTTAAAAAGGATATTAGACATTGGAGCAAACTCAGACTAAGTATTACACAGATCATTTGTCATTTTTCTTATCTTTTTAAATAGCTTACATGTAACTTCAACAAAATTATGCCACCGGATGTAAGGCAAGCAGCAATCAAACAAACATGCCACCACTGTTCATAGTTTTACATCGAAAATAATGGCTATATCTTTATATAGCTAGTTATCTGAAATCTAGGGAGTAATATATTAAATTATGAAAATTGTGACTTTCTCAACCATGTCAGCAATGCAATTAGCTTTGATAGGAGCAAAAAAGTATAATTAATTTAGAAGAATAAAATGGCAGTGTTGTAAGCTCATACATATATATTAATATTTACTAAAATTAATTTGTGCATATGTTAATGATATAATGTTTGATTGACAAAATTTGTGAGTAAAGTGTATTTGTACATGTCAACATTTGAAAAGATAATGTAAATTCACAAATTTTCAAGATGTATATTTACAGTATAATTATTGTGAAAAATATGACAGGGTAAGCAACTCATTAATTGTAGATTTTTATACGACCGCAAAAAAAATTTTGTGGTCGTATATTGGTATGACGTTGGCGTCGTCGTCGTCCGAAGACACATTGGTTTTCGCACTCTAACTTTAGTTAAAGTGAATGGATCTCTATGAAATTTTACCACAAGGTTCAATACCACAAAAGTGAGGTTGGGATGGATTTTGGGGGTTATGGTACCAACAGTAAAGGAATTAGGGGCCAAAAAGGGACCAAAAATAAGCATTTTTGTAACTTCCAGACATAACTTGTGTGTTAGTGTATGGATCTCTCTGACATTGTACCACAAGGTTCCATATCACAAAAGGAATGCTGGGATTGATTTTGGGGGTAATTGCCTCCAAATTTTAGGAGTTAGGGGCCAAAAAAGGGGCAAAAAACAAGCATTTTTCTAGTTTCATGACAATAACTTGTGTGTAAGTGTATGGATCTTTATGAAATTGTACTACAAGGTTCCATATCACAAAGGGAAAGCTGGAATTGAGTTTGGGGGTAATTGCCGAAACGTGTAGGAATTGGGGGCCAAAAAGGGGCCAAAAATAAGCATTTTTCTAGTTTCCAGACAATAACTTGTGTTCAAGTGTATGGATCTCTCTGAAATTGTACTGCAAGGTACCATACCACAAAGGGAAGGCTGGGATTGATGATGGGGTAATTGCCTCAATATTTTAGGAATTAGGGGCCAAAAAGGGGCAAAAAACAAGCATTTTTCTAGTTTCAGGACAATAACTTGTGTGTAAGTGTATGGATCTTTCTGAAATTGTACTACAAGGTTCCATATCACAAAGGGAAAGCTGGGTTTGAGTTTGGGGGTAATTGCCTAAACGTTTAGGAATTTGGGGCCAAAAAGGGGCCAAAAAACACATTTTTCTAGTTTCCAGACAATAACTTGTGTTCAAGTGTATGGATCTCTCTGAAATTGTACTGCAAGGTACCATACCACAAAGGGAAGGCTGGGATTTAGTTTGGGGGTGATGAATCATAAGGGGGTTTAAAAAATTTGGGGGGGGATTTTTTTTTTTTTTCCTTTTTTTTTTCTTTTAAAATTTTCCATTTTAAGTTGGTTATTTCTGATTTATATTTAAAAGCAAATAATAATGATATGGTAGGAGATACACACCAAACAGGATGTGTAAGTTATTATTAAGTATTGTGCAATAGCAAGAAATTTTCAATTGCACAGTATTGCACAATAGCAAGAAATCTTCAATTGCACAGTATTGCGCAATAGCAAGAAATCTTCAATTGCACAGTATTGCGCAATAGCAAGAAATATCCAATAGCACAATATTGCGCAATAGCAAGAAATTGTCAATTGTACAGTATTGCGCAATAGCAAGAAATATTTAATTGCACAGTATTGTGCAAAAGAAGATACTTCGTATAAATTGACCAATTTCAATGGGGTTTTATTCTTGAATTCTTGGGGTTCTTTAATATGCTGAATCTAACCGTGTATTTAGTTTTTGGATTTCAGGCCCCGTTTTTAAATTGGTCCACATTGAGGTCCAAAGGGTCCAAAATTAAACTGTTTGATTTCATCAAAAATTGAATTATTGGGGTTCTTTGATATGCCGAATCTAACCGTGTATTTAGATTCTTAATTTTTGGTTCCGTTTTCAAATTGGTCTACATTAAGGTCCAAAGGGTCCAAAATTAAACTTAGTTTGATTTTAACAAAAATTTAATTCTTAGGGTTCTTTGATATGCTGAATCTAAACATGTGTTTAGTTTTTGATTATGGGCCCAGTTTTCAAGTTGGTCCAAATCGGGGTCCAAAATTAAACTTTGTTTGATTTCAACAAAAATTGAATATATGGGGTTCTTTGATATGCTGAATCTAACCATGTATTTAGATTTTGGATATTGGACCATAATAGGTGAATGTCCAATTTAAAATTTTTAAGTTCTTAGACCACATTCATTCTGTGTCAGAAACCTATGCTATTATTTAATCACAATCCAAATGCAAAGCTGTATCAAGCTTGAATGTTGTGTCCATACTTGCCCCAACTGTTCAGGGTTCGACCTCTGCGGTCGTATCAAGCTGCGCCCTGCGGAGCATTATTTAATTCTGATATCATTATTTTAATGCTGGATATCCAAAAATCACATAAATTTATCAATCACTCATTTGAGTAAATTGTTCAATATTTTAACCAATATATTGCATACAATTATTTCTAAATTTACATTTTGTTTACCCATATAATGTTTGTTTATGGGAACATCATATGACCACATTTGTATTGTCATTTCTTGTTGTCCATCTTACATGTAGTCCATTAACCTTTTTTTTTAATCTTCTGGTCTTCAACTACTAGCTGTATAGGTCGATCTACTATAACAAACTACCACACTCATTTGTTGAAAACAGATTTTTACCAAATGTCATATTTTAAACTATGTTATTGTTCCGAGTCATCAGATATTCTAATGCAATTATTTTGTATCAATGGTTCTGATTGGATGACAATAAGTGTAAAATTCTCTATCTCCCTGTCTGTAACTAAGGAAGCCGACATTTTGAATTCCGGAATTTATTGACATGTAATTTCTCCAATAATAAGCAGAAAAACTTGCATTTTGCACCTACAAATTTTCTTTTCATCAAATTTTATTCCATTCTGAAGCGGACAAGAAGCCAGAAAACGCCCGGTGTTTACGTTTGATGCCGGAAGCTTACCTATGACGTCACATAGTTGAGGCGCCAAAGAAGATAACATCATTTCAAGGAATTTTTGTTTAATGAAAATTTTACACTGAAATAATGACTAAAATTCAACGATTTGTTTGTTTTGCATTAGAATAGAGATAACTGTATTGTATTTGAAGCTTTGCGGACGTCCATCAGTAGTTTTACTGTTGCAAATATCCATTTACCTGTCTCCGCTACATGTCGCCAGGTAAACTCAATGTGTGACAGTAAAACTACCGATGGACGTCCGCAAAGCTTCAAATACAATACAGTTATCTCTAAAATATTTTGTTAGATCAAGTACTCAACATTTTTCAATATTTTATTAAGTTCTTCATGTTAAACACCATCATATTTAGTTAATTGTGCAGATATTTGATCTAATCAAAAACAATTGCTTATGATTTTATAAACACACAACATTTTTATTCAAGATCATCCGATCTTCATATACAGATAGTATATTATTGTTATTGTTTGTATTGATGTATTGGTATGCTGTCTATCACATCTGGTGTATGTTTGTCATTGATTATCCATTGTTCTGTATGTTTGTATATTTAATGTTTATTTCTATTTTCTATGGAACAAACTTTCACTGTAAAATTGATCGATTTCTGAAATCTCATTTATGACCAATTTTTATGTATACAGTATCTGAAACATTATACACTGGCATCAATCATGTCAATAGTTATGTCTCTACTTAAATGAAATGAGACTTTGTTGTCCATCCCTTTCTTCTCATGGTCAGATTATAATGTTTTGATATATGCCTGTAAAGCCATATAGAGTTACCTTTTGATGTAGATTAATGACAATTGAGTGTATTTATCACCATAAAATGGTGTGTGACATACATGTACCTTCATGAATGAAATTTCACCTTTTACCTCTAGATTAAAGTATTATATTTTTACAATCAGGAAGGATTACCTTTTTTAACAAAAAATACTGTTAAGATGTGGGTTAATTATCATATAAGGGTGTCATGTCCTATCATGGTAGACATATGACCTTGACCTTTAATGGAAAGGTAAAATTATTTATTTTTTACATGTACTTATAATAATCATATATGGTAGGGTAAAGCAAAATATGTCAAGGTTAAACTACTATTTTTAAATGGAATACTGTCTGGCTCAAAATTTATCTTTGGACAAAAGATTTCAAATGATTGGCTAGTCGGTATATATATATCGTTACAACATGATGCATTCCTTATTTTTTTTTGGTTGACATATGACTTTGGACTTTGAACTCAGGTTCAAATATATAGTTAGTTTTTAGCCTGTTAGCTAGTCCAGTTGAGAACTTTTTTTATCTTTTGACATAGACTTGGGTTTTTTTTTCTGACATGAACCGAAGTAAAGATCATGCATAAATACTAGCTGAGTAATGTAGGCTGTTTGGAGCCAATAGTTTACATTTTTTTCTGCTTCATATTTTCTTAAAATAATTTTTCAGTCATATTATTGTTGCATACATCTCTGAATGTATATAGATGTCAATTTAAGCTATCAGTATTTGTCAAGGATTTTTCAGTTGTAAAATACATCTCTTAATATATATGAGGGTCTGGAAGGGATTTAGAGAAAGGAGAATAATGGGCAAAATATAAAGAACAAAGAAATATAGAGCAAACAAATAAAAAATAGAGAATAATGGGCAAAATATAAAGAAAAGAGAAATATAGGGCAAACAAATAAAAAATAGAGAATAATGGGCAAAAAATATAAAGAAAAGAGAAATATAGGGCAAACAAATAAAAAATAGAGAATAATGGGCAAAAAATATAAAGAATAGAGAAAAATGACTTAAAAAAATAAAGAATACAGAAATGAGAAACCCCATCCAAAGACTCATATGCATGTCCATTTAAACTATCAGTTTAATGACTGTTTATTTATATTTATTGTGGAGTGCAGTATGCGACATAAATATATATAATGTAACATTTGTATGAAGCTTTTAATTGTGACATAATTTCCAAAATTTGTGTTCAGACAGGAATCTATTCTTCATTGCATTTTATAAGACAAAGTAACAACTGCTATTTGCATCTTTTTGTAATTTGTTTTTAGTTATGTCAGTTGAAAAAATGTAAAACTTGTGCTTTAGATGGTATATATTGTATAATTTAAAGTTTGTGGGTCATAGAGGTGATAGTTGGCAGCAGTATTCAATAGTTTCAAATTCAATTGTGTAATGGATCCTGCAAAGGCAGGGGGTTTGTAGGTAGAAAACTTCTTTGATTATTAATAAGTAAACTTTAATTATAGATATGAATTTTGATTACTGTGGATTTAGTCTGCATACAAGCCTATACAAAATTTGTACTTTATTGAACTTTTAAATCACCTTAATCCACAAAACTTGGTTTCCCATGAAAGATAATGAAGCCACAGTATCTTTCAATACTGTAAATTCAGAAATTATTGCATGCATTTATTGCTGAAATTTTTGAAGAATGAACAAAAATGTGAGATTAATTATTGTCTTTTTTGGAAAAGATACATATAGATATATGTATCAGATATCGGAATATGAGTTCTTATTATTGCAATACTCACCCAGTCTTATTATTTGCATGCAATAATTTCTGAATTTAAGATAGTAAAAATGAAAAAAATGTCCTTAAAGTAGACAACAGAGGTAAGACGACTGAAAACATGCAGTAGATTTTAAGCTCACCTGCTGCAAAATGTCAGAATGAGCTTTTTACACTTGGCATCCATTGTCAGACTTAACGATTGACTTCTAAAAAAAATCTTGAACCTCTTGATAAATTTGAATAAACTTTAACAAAGACCTACAAAATACAAATTCTGCAAAGGACAAAAAACATTTACAATATAAGTAAAGATCACCTTTGACAATGTTCCTGACTTCAGACAGTCACATGAACATGTGATTGAATTTAACTAGTTTTAGAGTTTTCAACACTCCCCTTGTTATCTCAAAAAGGTAAAAGAATGAAAACAGGTTGATAATTTAATATTCAGTTTTTTTTTATCATCAGGAAAAATGTTGGAGACTAAGTCATTTGATGAACATGTTTAGATAACCCTTCC